AGAATACAATTATGCTATTATATGATCTTTTTGTAATTATGCAATAGCAGAATTTCTGCACCTGCTTTAAGATCCGTTTGGTATGATTTATTTTTCTTCGAATTTCTGAATTTGACATGTGGAATAGAGCAATACAATATTTTGGGAAAATAGTGACTCTTGTCCTGCACTTAACCGATAGCTGGAAGACTGGACACCAAGAAGAATTGTCCTATTGGCTAGAAAACGACATATTCATGCTGAAGGCCTGTTTGTTGGCTACTGATCAAAGGAAAAATAAGTCTAAATATGGAGCTGAAATCTGGCATTCGAGAAGAAAGAAGTGGAAGAGAAGATGAGAAAGTATCATCCCTGAAACAGGAAGTGGGAGAGTGATCCTGGCGTGATTTTGGACAATGTGGAAAGATGAAGAAGACAAAGAACGAGACACGATAGAAGAAAGAGATGGACAACCTAGAAAGGGGAAAAAAATTGGGTTCCCCAAAGTACCCTGAGAACTGACTGCCTTATGTGTGAGCCACCATTTGACAGCTTTTGAATGGAAACTTGCAGCAAAATTTGATGTTGGGGAACCCATATGCTAAGAATGTTAGAATGGGGAGACCCAATGCACATAAAATGAAACTTGGGGCCATAAGTGGAAACATTGGAAAAAGAAAAGAACTGATAAAGGGTGCTTCATAATCTACATAAAAACAATGAAGTGTGTCCGTTCTAAACATATACTAACAAGATTGATAAGGCAAAACCACAGAACAGCCATTCAAAAATAATATATGGAACCAGAAAATGTCAGCAAGAAAAAATTAAAAGAAAACTAAGACATAGCGAAGGAAAGAGCAAGAACAGACACTATTACAATTGTACATATTACTTCTTCAAAGACCTCTTAGTTTCTCATTGACAAGGCCCATTCAAAAGTCTAGTCGGTGGTATTGAGATACGAACAATTACCACCCTAAGCATTTGCAGCAATGTTTTAGTGTCACCAACATCAAAGTTTTTAGTAAATGAAGTTCTGTTAAATTTGTGCACAGCATACACATTTCTAGTCAGAACTATGTCGATGATGAAGACTTTCCACCATCTAAAACATAAAAGGCATTATTCCAAAGATTAATCAGACAAAGTGTTTTATCTTGGGCTTGGGGAGGAGGAACGTGTGTGGGGGATAAAAGAGTTGGGCTGGAAGTAAGTGGGCTGTGTGTTATGGAAATGGCTTTTGGGCTGTTATAAAGAAGTTTAGGCTGACAATAATTGGGCCGTGAAGTAGGAATAGGAGTAGGTTAAAGGAATGGCAACTATGGAATTAAGAAAATGAAATCTAAGGCGGCAACAGAAACTCCTTCAATTGTTTATTTTTTTATTTTTTTTATTTTATTATTTTTTTTTGTATAGAAACTGATGAAAGACTAATTTGAAATTTTTGGGCATGAACAGTACTATTGGATTTTATGTGCAATATTAAAGAGATGAAAAAGATAATCAACACAAGAATTTACGTGGTTCGGCGATGTGTCTACATCCACGAGAGCGAAGTGAAGATTTCTTTATTCAGTTATGAAAAATAGGGTTACAACATATTATTTATACTAATCCTAACCTGGGCTCATATAAGACTTCAAGGCCCGTACAGGAAATAACTCTGTACCATACCGCGGGGGCGTTACCCCAGCACCCCCAACCCATTCGGCGTCCCTAACAACCAGACAGTGAATTAAACCCGCGCAAGGCCGATGTCGTCACTCCGCTCCATTCAGTTCCGTTCGATGCACTCCACTCCACTCCGCGCCGACATCAGCCCATTTGATCTAGGAACTGTGTTCCACTCTATATGAGCCACATGCACAATAAGTACGATGAACAGTAACACTTTTTTTGGAAACCGCAAAAAAAAAATTGAAATTCCGAGTGTGAACAGTGACTTTTTTCCTAATCAACTAGAAAGAAAATTAAACAAGAAAATTACACCTCACAACAAATTTTTCTTTTTGTTTGTGCTCTTCCACAAGTTTTTTTGGGAAAATGATAGGAAGAAAGTTTTTTATTGTAGATGAAAAATTATCCAAGTTTTAGCTCTGATACCAAATTTGATGCAGCACCAACTCAAGCAATTAATTGAATGTTAGAACAGATCTATGGGAAATGGGGAATTGAAGGGAAGAATGGGGAAAGAAGAAGATTTCACGGTAGAAGAAGAAAATAGGAAGAGAGAAGAAGAAAGGGGAAAGAGGGGGAATTTCACCGCAAGCCACCAAAATATTATTCATTCATCAACTGAAAATAAATTACAATGCAAAAATAGGTTTAAATAGTAAAGCAAACCCTAACGAGACCAGCCCCGAGCACATACAAGTCCAATGCTCTAAATAAGAGTCCAAGATAATAAACAAAGCTTAACTAAAAATAAAATAAACAAATATCGGATGTCGTCATCAACTCTCTCGGGGTGGAAGAAAACTCGAGCCTATCAAGTGGATATATCACTATAGGCTGCAGTCAATCTCCCAACCATAAGCTATGTGGCTGAGCAAGTGTCTTCCGACATCTGTAGAAATGTGTCAGTGGAGGAGAGTTACCTCTTTAGAGCCAATAAATTGTGTATCCCTCGAACTTTAATGCGGGATTTTATAGCATGGGAAATTCATGCGGGAGGTTTAGCCGATCGCTTTGGGCATGATAAGACTACAGAGGAAGTTGAACACCAATTCTATTAGCCTAGTTTGAAGAAAGATGTGGCTAAAATCGTTAGTACATGCAACACTTGTCATTTGGCCAAATAGAGGGGCAAAACACAGGCTTATATACTCCTCTTCCTATCCCCAATTGTCCTTGACAAGATATTAGTATGAATTTTGTGTTAGGACTTCCACGCACCCCAAAGAAATATTATTCTATTTTTGTGGTTGCCGATCGTTTCTCGAAAATGGTTCATTTTGTTCCCTATAGTAAGACCTCAAATGCGTCCAAGGTTGCCATGTTGTTCTTTAATGAGATTGTCAAATTGTATAGACTTCCGAAGATCATTGTGTCCGATAGGGATGTTCGTTTCACTAGTCATTTTTGGAGAACTTTGTAGCAAAAGATGGGTAACAAATTGAAATTTTCTATGGCCTATCACCCTCAGACTGACGATCAAACTAAAGTAGTTAATCGTAGTCTCGGTAATTTGTTATGATGTCTGGTCCAGGAAAATCTTCGAAATTGGGATTTGATCCTTCCTATAGCTCAAATTGCGTATAAAAGTTCCATGAATCGTTCATTAAGTATGAGTCAAGTTGAAGCTGTTCATGGGGTATAAGCCTAGGAAGCCGTTAGATCTCATTCCTATGTCTCCACAGGCTAAAGTGTCAGTGTCAGCAAAAGAATTTACACAACATCTTCGTGATTTGCATTTTGAGATCAATAAATAGCTTGACACCAGTAATGCAAAATATAAACGTCAAGCTGATTTGCATAAACGACATGTTGAGTTTAACATTGGAGATTACGTTATGGTCCGTATTAGGCTTGAGCGGCGTCTACATGGACCTACCTCCAAATTGCAAGCCGGTAGTGCTGTGATAGACCTCCCCTCTAATAATATATTCCAATACAAGTTTGTTATTCATTCACTAATCTAGAATATTCCATTGTTAGTTACAAAAGGGTAAATTTGTAATAGAAAACTAGTAAATTCTCTATAAATGTAATGAGGGGAGTTGGGATATTCATTCAGGGAAATAGTGGGAAATTGGGGAGAGACAAGGCCTCTCGAATGCCTTGGAGTGTCTTTCAAATTCTGTTTCATTTCATCAGTTCATTTACAGATGCTTAAGTTCTCTGCAATTCAATAAAACAATATATTTCATCTAGCTTCAATTCTGCAATTCTTTAGCACTATTTCAGTTATCTCCGATTTCATCAACAGTCGGCAGAACCTTGGACACCCCAGTTACCTCAAGCGTCTCAAATCTAATCCATAAAAACTAACTTTGGAAACCACAAGCTCCATTTCAGGTCTGCAACAATTATAACAGCACAGGAATCTATCAACTGGTATCAGAGCACCGATTCTGTGGCAAATGGAAACAAAATTCAGCAAGGAATGGGAGGAAAATTGGAGCTTGTTAATGAGTCAATTTGACCGCTTGATGATGCGATAAGAAGGAGATCGAATGGGGACAATTTGGATTCGTGGTTGATTAAGGCGGAGCGATGCATAGACAAGAATCGCGGATTAACGAAGAGGGAAAAGGTCGAAGCCGCAGTTGCTTGCTTTTATGGAGGGCATGGTTCCAAGAGATAGACGATAGCTGTCCAATAGAGACCTGGGTAGAATTGAAGGTGAGGATGATGGTTCGATTTCCCATGAAGCATATCTCCGCTGGTGAATTTTCAGAGTGGAAGCAGGGAAACGAGTTGAACCGGGAGATAGCGCAGGCAGAACAGCCTGGTAAAGTGCTTGTGTTCTCATCGCCATCATCGGGGGAGGAAAAAATCTCATTGTTGGAGAAGAGCGAAGTGAAGGTTCCAGATTAGGGAGAACAGGAATCAGAAAGGAAGGAAAAAACAGAGGTAACGACCTTGCCTAGTGCCTCCATCAATTCTGAAATTCAGCCTAAATTTGAGGAATTTGAATATGGTCGCAATCACAGGAGTCACCCGATGCTGTTCGAAAAATCAGTCTCCTCTTTACAAACGTCGCCAGAGGAATTTCAGAGGAACCGGATGGTTAATGGGTTGAAACCCATGTCATGGGCTGATGATAGAAGACTACAGCCTAAGGATTTGGGCCGCTTTATGGATATGGGCTAACATATTGATTAAACAAATTCAAAAATTGAAGAAACAAGGTCAATGGTCCATTATCAATGGACAGATCCGACCCAGTGAAAAGCAGAGGCAGATTGATTGATACCCAACCTACTAATACCCAATACGCTAAACGCCTTCTTGTAATCTCACATTACAGCTTCAACCCGGCCCCTAATTTTTCTCCTTAGTCTACCAATTTGGCCAGAATCAACTTGTCAGACGCTGATGAAGAGTCACTTCCATCCTTCAAAGTGTTGACAGAAGTCGAATTGCGGTCCATGGAACTCACGGGTCAGATTAGAAGTCTCAAAGTGGTGGTGGCTTCTCTCAACTTGTTGAGTGATCTTTTGGAGAAGGAATTAATCAGCCTTCATCAAACTTCACTCTTGATAGTAGACGAGACAGGAAAAATAGGTAGGGAAATTGATGATAATGGGTTTGGAGGAATAAGTAGCAACAAAGGTGGAGGGATTTGTAATACCAACAATGATGGGGAGTTTGGTGATATGTTAGGATTATTAATTTACCAATTCGATAATAGAACAAGAAGGGGTCGCTGAGTTGATTGGTCGTGGTACTATGGAACACTGTATTTCGATTTGGCGATTTCAATTTTTGGAAAACTTGCAAATGGGTACGACCGGCTATGGGGTTTTTATGGATCAAATTTTAATGGTAGGTGGGCAGTTGACTCCACAAGCTAACAGTCACAGCAAGCTTACTCCAAAGACGGTTCAGCTAAATGGAAGCCCGAATTTTGAAGTTAAACCACACTTCCACCTTGAGGACAAGGTGGTTTTTAGGGGTGCGGGTAATGATAGACCCCCCCCCCCCTCTAATAATATATTCAAATACAAGTTTGTTATTCATTCACTATTCTAGAGTATTCCATTGTTAGTTACAAAAGGGTAAAATTGTAATAGAAAACTAGTAAATTCTCTATAAATTTAATAAGGGGAGCTGGGATATTCATTCAGGGAAATAGTGGGAAAATTGGGGAGAGACAAGGCCTCTCGAATGCCTTGGAGTGTCTTTCAAATTCTATTTCATTTCATCAGTTCATTACAGAGATGTTTAAATTCTCTGCAATTCAATAAAACAATATATTTCATCTAGCTTCAATTCTGCAATTCTTTAGCACTATTCCAGTTATCTCCAATTTCTTCAGCAGCCAGCAGAACCTTGTACAACCCAGTTACCTCAAGCATCAGCCGCAGTAGCCAAAACCTCTCAAATCTAATCCATAAAAACTAACTTTGGCAACCACAGGCTCCATTTCAGTTTGCAACAGTTACAACAGCACAGGAATCTATCATGCTGGTCCTTTTAAAATTTTAAAGCAAGTTGGTCCAAATGCATATGTTGTTAGCATTCCACCACACCTTTGTTACCACTCTACTTTCAATGTTGAGAACCTACTAGCTTATAAAGGTCATTTCTTTCCCTCAGATAATCCTCTGTTACCTTTTTTTGTGGACCACTTCTAACCTACTACCATCTCTCACAGTAAACAAAAATAAAATTGATGTTATTTTAGATGAAAAAACTGTATTAATTAATGATGGAGAGGTTTAGCGCTTCCTTGTTCATTGAGTTGATCAACTAGATTCTGACTGTACATGGATCTTCAGAGAGATACTACAGCAATTGGATCTAAATTTATTGGAGTTTTATCGGAGTCAGCAAGACCTTCCTTGGCCCTGATCGCCTCCCGTCCACTCGGGGGTTGGTGAGGACACTAGATTTAGACCTCCACTGACACATTTTTACAGACGTCGGAAGACACTTTCCCAGCCACTTAGCTTATGGTTGGGAGATTGACTGCAGCCTATAGTGATATATCCACTTGACAGGGTCGAGTTTTCTTCCACCCCGGGAGAGTTGATGAGGACATCCGATATTTATTTATTTTATTTTCTAGTTAAGCTTTATTTATTATCTTAGACTCTTATTTAGAGAATTGGACTTGTATGGGCTTGGGCCCGATCTCGTTAGGGTTTGTTTTACTATTTAAATTTATTTTTGCATTGTAATTTATTTTCAATTGATGAATGAATAATATTTTGGTGGTTTGTGGCGAAATTCCCCCTCTTCCCCGTTCTTCTTCTCTCTTCTTATTTTCTTTCTTCTACTGCGGAATCTTCTTCTTTCCCCATTCTTCCCTTCAATTCCTCATTTCCCATAGATCTGTTCTAACATTCAATTAATTGCTCGAGTTGGTGCTGCATCACAAAGTAGCATATAAAAGAAATGGCCGAGCTTCTAAGGGTATCCATCGAACTCATCAAGGTTCATAAAATTTCATTTGGGAACATTATGAGTAACATGATGGAATCTGAAAACTGTCACACTACATGCATCAGGTAATTTCCATGGGTATTTAGACCAATAGCCCAAAACTTATATTCTGTTATTATCTTTACTATGGATAAGAAAAGCAAGTAGCCTGATATAAAACAGAGTTTTTTGAACGTAAAAGCTTCGTTTCAGAAGTATCACAACTAAACCATCTTGCCATCCAGTTATGGTTTCTAATAATTTAGCAGCAAAACCTAGAAGGTGGCCTAAAATCCTATTTACATCATTATTATCTCAGTTTTATTCCACGAAACACACTATACTGAGTAATTCAGCACAAGGCTTTGCTTACTCGCAAATATAACACATTAGCTACAAGATTGATGCAATGCGTTTTCTTGAAACGTGGCACAAAAAGTTACTTCAAGCAAACACAAGATCAGAAAAATCACAAAAACATAGAAACACAAAAAGGATTAGGCAAGCAGAAACTATTAATTCTTACTACTAAGTCCCCACGAACTCCAGCCTCCTCCATGGCTTCCCGCAGTGCTGCCTGCTCAGCCGTTTCATCATTTTCCCACCCACCCTATATTGAAAAATAATACAAGAGTATGAATAAAGGAACATTCTTCTGTCCTCTTTATGTAGTTTTCTCAGCATAGAAGGAAAACTCCGCCATAGCCAAAACACTTATTGACATCAAAAGAATACTACTATATGTTTATCTTACATGCACTTTGAAACCTCAGCTTCATAGTTTATCCGAATTATTCAAGCTTCTTGTCTCTAGACACGTGGACGACATTTATTTATTTGTAGCTTTTTTCTTCAATTCCTATAGTACAGTGGCTAATACATAAATTAAAATATACAAACCCGTATCCTCTAGAAAAATATCAAACGATTAAAACCAAAAAACATTTCTGATCACAATACTGGACCTACTTTCAGAAGTTGAGGTTGCTCCATCTGATTTCTATGTACAAAATATGTTATAATCAAGGCCTTTTAGTCTAATAAGATGAAAGAAGAATTATTGCTAGAAACCAAGAAGTTAAACATGAAGAGGATGAGATTTTTCAGTTAACATCTACAACTGTTCTCCCCTTCCCATAAAAGACAAATTCCAGGGTTGACAGGTAGTCGGGAGTAGAGAGAACTATAAGAATTAACTTTTGACAATCTGAACTGAAGATGGTCCCAAAGACTTAAGTAGTGTGCCTAAATGAGTCTTTGGCGGGCCCCACATACATAAGATACTTGATGTTAAATACATGGGAGCAGATGGAAAAAATACTGTTTAACCAATAAAACTCACTGGCTCATATTAATCTCAATAAATTCTTTGCATCACTCAGTACACAACCAGATGGCAGACAAAATTATCTAAATAGAACTTGTTTCAGAAGACTGTTCAATGAACAATACCAAATGGCTCTATATACCACATCACAAAAATGGGAAGTAATAGAAACTATACAATGTGCTCCATGAAAACTTTCTTTTCTGTGGCAATGGCCAGCGTTGATGAATATATAGATCTCACCTTTGGAAATAGAAGACCAGGTCCACTATTTGAGTTTATCATTAGTACTTCAATAATCTTCTTAGATGAGTCACCAACATTTCCTTCAACATTGCCATACTTGAAGGGAATACACCTGAGTAATGACCCTATTGGTTAGAACAGAGAAACCATAGTGTATATCCCAATATTATCCAGTTTTTTGAGATGATGTAATGAAAAAGTCAGAAATAGCGCATATTAGATTATACATCACCCACACATATGATCAACGCCAAAAATCAAGAGTAATAGCCTTATCGCAAAAATGCCCAAAAAGTAGAGAATGGAAAACGACCCAAATATGTGAACATTCTTTCCTCAATATTTCTCCTATTAAAGCAAGCCCAGTTGAGAAAAAACAACTACACAATAAAATGCAAACAGAATTCGAGGTAACTCTTTCTCATTAATCTCCAACTTCAACAATATCACGAAAACACATTACAATCAAATCATACCAAAAGAAAAAAGAAAAGAAAAGAAAAAAAGAAGAAAAATTCCGACCGAAGCTTTCACCATTTCCAGAATTAAACAAAACCCAATCGCAAGATGATAAATCCAAACCCAATTACTATATCAAAATCAAAAGCGGAGCCAGGTAATTCGCGCAGTCCTCTTACAACAAACAGACACAAACGCATATGCATGCATGTATTCATTAACTGGGAACGGGGAAAAGAGGGAGACAAGCAATTACCCAGCAATAAGGCGAAAGCCATCCTCATAACGCTGCTGCTGCCTACCAGTCCGAGCTACCAATTCAGACATTTATATGCAAAACAATCAATACCCACTTCTTGAAATATGAATACCATACATATATATATATTATATGAATGTCCTCACAAGCTGCACTTTTGATTCACAAAAACCACTATATATAACAACTCTCTTTCATATCAACACCTTTTCTTATTTGGGCACCAATAATTCTGCATTACTCCTCAAACTCTTGCTTTTGTTCTGAAAAATATAAAAACCCCCACAAATTTTTACCTTTAATTCTTTTAGTAAGTTTACTGGGAAGAAATTTGAGTGGAAGGGCAGCGAACGAATAGGAGCCTGTATTTGGTAATGGAGTCGGTCGAGTTTGGTCATTGGGTTGGGTCGGTCCCAAAATACTATACAAATTCAAACTCTATAACCTTTTTCCTTTAATTAATTATTTCACATAGCCATCTGCCATGTCATTTTTACACCCACGGGTTTGTTAAAAGTCGCTATTGCCCTTGAAATTTTGGAAAAGTTGTGGCAAAAATGGGTATCCAGGAAGGGCAATTATGAGATTTCAAGATTCGTACCTAAAATTTTTTGGTCACGAATACGTGAAAATAGTAAAATACATTTGTGGACATGGTTGGTACAATAAAATGACGAGAACAATGTTATTCATGGTTGGTAGTGTAACGTTATTCATGGACATCGACGTAATAGTGATTAATTTTCTTTTTAGCTAAAATGACGAATCAATTAAAGTCATCTATAAGCATCAATCTTGCTTATGGATATATCGTGTCGATAAATAGTATTATTTAAATTATAAATATTAATAGAAAGGGGAACGATTAAATGAGTGAAATTTTCGAACATATTAAAGTTTTACAAATGTCTCTATACTTATTTTTTGAAAAATAAGTATTAATTTTTTATGGACATTATTTCCCTTGTTCAGGCTCCATTTAATGAGTTTTTGAGAAAAATATATTTTAGAATAATGATTTTTTTTTTACAGAATATGTGATTAAAAAGAAGAATTTTTTTAGTTGTATGTGTAACATTATTTTATTAAAAAAACATAAGTTCGAAAGAAGATAAAGAATGTTAAATTTAAATGGAAACCAAACAGGGACATTATCTTCATTGTGGTTAAATAAGTGTCTCTCAAATTTCTATCTAGTTGTATCCCATAGGCATCTACTATTCCCCCAAACAGATGAACTATCACATTGCATCCTCTCTGAAATCTGCAAGACCCCAAGAAACCCCTATCCTTGCCGCGTCTAGACTACAACATAACTTACTCAGCCCTTATTTGATCCTCATTTTTAGGGAAATAATGCATTTTGATTAGTAGAATAATAGAGAATGTGTGGTTAAAAGTTAAAGAAAAGTTTTGAATTTGCGTGTAATATTATTTTATTGAAAAATATATAATTGAAAGTGAGTTTTGAAAAAATAAAATTTTAGAAGAATGAGAATCAAACAGGGGTTTATCTACCAAATACGTCTGCATACCCCTCCCCCAAAACTTTCTAGGTGATAGTGAGACTTAATGATAGGTGAGATTTCTACACATATTCAGCCCATCAAAGTTAAATATTTAGTCATCAATTTGGTAAAATTACTAAGTTTGGTTAAATATCGATTATTGTATGATAAATTTGAGTTTGGATGGCTTTTGATGAAAAGAAGTGAAAACTAGCTAAAGAAGGATGAATAAAGAATTAGAAAAGATTGAAAACTAAATTACAAATATTCAAAAGTTTATTCCTACCAAGAAATAATCATTTAGATTACATTGATTAAATGGATGCTCTTGTGATACTAATTCATTCTTTCATATTTGCATCTTTCATAGAGATACAATAAGATCACGTATGAAGATATGTTTAATTCTTTTCGAGAGAAACAGTTGAATGAAATAGGAACGTTAATTAACAAGTTATAAACAAATGTTTTCATGATTTTGAGTTGTATTAAAATGGAATAATAAATGAGGATTCGAAGTTTTAAGGCTTATTTTTAATTAGTTTCACAAATGCATTCAAAAAAATAGTTTTAAAAAATCAACAACCACAATTTGATTTTTCGATTAGAATTAGTAAACTATAACTAAATTAAGTACTTTGTGCTCGAGGGAATGATACTTTATTCACTACTTTATTAATTGACCATGATCTGTGCACTTGTCGGATTTCATCATTTAAACTCTAAATCCTATCTGGATACTGCCTTCCATAAAAAAGTTATAATGTTAGAAAAGATACAAATTTATTTAGATTATGTGTTAAAGAGTGCAAAACTATTTCCATATCTAAAAAACTTCCAAGACAAATTGAAGTATACAACTTTACTTAGATGAAAACCACCAAACATAGCAATTTTAAAAAGGAATATTTGCAGCTTTGGTCCTAAACTTTTTATTTTTTTGCGAATAACACTAAAATCTTTTATTTGTACAATCCACAATCCGAAAACTTTATCTTCTTACCTATCCTCACCGATGCCACCCCCACAACAATAATTTCACATAAAGCACCAGACCACATCTTGTTTACCCCACCTTCGCCAAAATTGTCATCGGAGCATTCCGCCCTTCTCTCTCTCTCTCTCTCTCTCTCTCTCTCTCTCTCTACTTTTCTTTAAAGTTATGTTTTCTGAATTTCAGATCAGTAAAAATCCCCATTTATTTCCATATAAAAACACTCGATTCAGATAACAAATGCTTCGAATCGTTAGAGACAATGGGGATTTCAATTTAGCGTTGCTAATCGTTGCAATAATCGTGGTGTGGTGGTGTTTATATTCAATTTGTACCTCCTTGTAAACTCAGCATCCAGATGATGCTAATCGGGCGTATTTCCCCAAATTCGTCGTCGTTTTGGGCCTCTCAATTATGGAAATTTCGATTTTAATGATTCCAACGAATGTGGCTAATCGTTAGGCTTGTAGACAGGTGATTTATAATGGTACATTGTCATGTGAGGAGCAATTGGTGAAAAAGGAGAGAAGAACCAGCCATGGAAGGAAAGACACGAAATCAGAAGTGGAGGAAGAAGAAGGAATTAACAGTAGTAACTAAAATTCAAGTCCAACATGACAGCGTTTGGTTTAAGAGTAACGACAACATTTTGCTTTATTTGAATTAAATAAATTGTAGAGGAAATTACCAAAA